TATATTTTTATTAATTTCATTACGATAATCAGTTCGAGAAAGATATTAAATATTAAATATAGAAACGGAGAAACTTTGTTAAAAATAATTACCTACGGAACGCTAATCACAGAAATAATATTTAACTAATAATCTAAGAGAGAGAATATTACTAATTTTAATGAGACAACTAGTACGAGAAAATATTAAATACCTCGAACGCGTGATTAACAGTTCCAGCCATATCTCTCCAGTAGAACCGTGTTCTCCCTGTCAGACGCACCTAGTTACTGGCACAAACCTCGCTAACGCATGCTTCGTAATCGAAGGAAAGGAATAACAATTATTCCAATAGAAGCGGAAATCGCTTACATTCGCAACAGGTAATTGATATGTGGGCTGATAATTGTTTGTATAGATAACACCAATAATAATGGCTCTCATGTTTAAAATAGCGAATTTTACGGGACGGTTTTTTCTTACAGCAATTAATTTAATTTCTCCAAGTACACAAACTAGACGAGATAAGGAAGAACCGTTTCTTGTCAAACTGATCGTAGCTTCAGTATTATGTGGCAGAAAAATCTCTTGATAATTATGATTTTTCTTTTCCCAAATACACAACTAAGCAAAATAATAAAAATTAAACTACGTTTTACCTTTTCAAATTACGCACACGATCGCGAGATCTTTTAACAATTGAAATTAAAATATATGATATTAAATACAGATGATTTTCAATCATGATGAAAATTAACACCCGACAGATTAGAAGAATGTGTGACGGATATTTTGATTCACGTGATAATACCTCTTTATATCGCTGAAGATCATCGTTACCGTTTGACAGCAGTTCGATAAGTAGGTAGTAATCATTCTCATTGGATAGTAGGGGATATAATGAATTTCGAGTACAAGATTCTACAATTGACCTCGTTTCATGCGATCGGCCTCGAGTCGCGCAGAGAACAGGGGTTTGGCGAGTTAACTATCGCCGATTTCTACCTGCCGCGCGATAAAAAAAAATAAGTATCACGCTTATCGTGCTGATTATACCTATTTGAGTCGACCGTTGATATGTACATACGCAGTTCATTGGCGCTGCCCAGGTAATATTCAAATTACTGGAAATTTGTGTCTGTTTAAAGAAGCTTACTTCGAGGTTCTTTAAACGTGTATTTATGCTTTAAGACAGTAATAATTCTGACAGTATTTTAAAACAGCGTTTTAAATTCGCGAAAGTTGTTTGTTTCAGCCTCAACTGAAATGATGTTGGTAGACGTTATGTGATATACTTGATTTACACCGGTGTCGTTCACCGGTGACTGACGGTATAAAATAAAAGAAACGATATCCTCGTTTAAAAATTAAAATTAAGAATAAAAATATAAAGGCTCGGTGTTCAACGCGTCAAATGAGAAGCAATTCATAAGAAACAGTAATTTTTAAAGTTTTGTTTCATTCTGGCTATTTTATTCTAATCTTTGATTATCTAAATATTATCTAAATGTTAATGCAAACAAAGAGGAATAATTATCAAAATAACAGAAGCCTATAATTCTTGTATCGTAAATGATACTTCTTTATCGTAATGATACTTCTGATAGCTTTCGTTTAAATAACATTATTTGTAAAATGTAATGTTGCAATGTCAACGGAATCATAAAACGTAGATAGTGAACTTCTTACCCGAAGCAGTAAAAAAATCCCCTCTACAAATTCCCTCAACAGCTACAAATTTTCATTAGTTCGAGAAATCACTTGAGTATCAACAAAAAGCTGATATCTTAGAGCAAATGTCTTCTATTATAATAAATTATCATATGTTTAACTTAGTTCGAGAATTTTTCGTCGGCAGGACGATAATCTTGAGGGATTCGAATTCAATTCGAGTGGCTCGTTCATCCAACAAGCCCTACGAGCCCTGAATTCGAAAGGGGCCGGCGAATTTCGAGTGGACAGGGCAATTGTGTCGAAAGAACAGGTTGAAAAAAAATTCCTGGCTCTTTTTCACACGAACCTGGTGCGTAGCTCGTCGGTCACGCGATGACGCGTCGTCGTAACGGATTGTGGGTGAAGACGGACGCGAAACGCAATTTAACAGTGTAAAGTCGCGACGATCGTCGATACTTTCTCTTGTCTTGGTCCAATCAAAATTCTTCCGCCGTGTGCACGCGCGTCACTAAACCGGAAAACCGTGCTCGTAATCGACGATATCTGTCTGCAATTTGGATTTCAACACGAAGATCCCACGCGAGTCTGCGTACCTAGACAACGAATCTCTTTTATGGGAAATGTTAACAGTCTGTCTGTCGAGATTGAAACGCAAGCTAAATAACTTATACGTACAAACGCTGAGTAATTCACATTCCCATTAAATTGAATCTCATTTATAAAGTTTGTGTTTCTTTCTCGTTTCGTTTCAAACTTCAATTGACGATTCGGTAGAGTGTTTTCACCACTGAGTGGGTCATTATTATTCTATAAAATGTTACAACTTGGATTTAAAAAAAGAAAAAAAAAATCTATGTTCATTTAGAATGATTTACTGATTTGACATAATTTCCTATGAAATACCCGTGCAAGGGACTCTAAAATTTCAAGAAATATACTATGATACAAGAAAGTACATAAAATATCCAAAGTATCATGCTTTAGTACGTAGCACAATTTTCTAGAAGTCCAAGACTTTTTTTATTCTTTAAAAAAAAAAAAAAAATCTTATTACCTCGCATCTTCAACTAGTGCAAAATCTCGGGAATAATTCTTGAAACGAACGCAATTTCTCGGTGAATTCCCCAAACTCCTCCGTAATTCTTCCCGTGTCTCTCTCATTAAATAATTACGTTGTACGAGCAACGCAATTCCTCTCGCGCACAATTATCATTCTTATCGCTCAGGAAGCCCATCTTGTAATTTCCTCCTTCGCGGTCAGTCATTACTAGACCTGCGAATCTTTCTGCGAATTCATATATTTGAAGATATAATTTAAAAAAAAAAAAAAAAAAAAAAAAAGAAAGAGCAGAATCGCGGTAATCGAAATAAAATTTGTTGCTCCAAACGTAACAAATCGCTTTCATCCTCAATCATATCACGATGTAAAATTTCACTACTACTCGACTTGTAACGCAGAATTCCACTGTGAGAATCATGAAATTCAAAATGAAAACGATTCGTTGCATTTACAATCAATAGTATTGACGTTTAAGTATTACGTAATTGAGGAAAATTATGAACGTAATCCGCAGATACCTTGTAAA